CAAAAGAAATAAAAGGCGAGTCCCCTGGGGTCACCCCACCCCCTCTTCTTTTTGATAACTTGTAAACAGTCGAGATTCCCACCACTAAACCATATATATTCTTGAATGGGACAATAAAACAAATCAAATGAAATTGAGGGGAAGTCCCCTGGGGTCACCCCCACCCCCCTTTTTTTTGAAAACTTGTAAACGGTCAAGATCCCCACCCCAAAACCATATATATTCTTGTACGGGACAATAAAACAAATCAAATGAAATATAAGGTGAGTCCCCTGGGGTCACCCCCACCCCCTCCTGTTTAAGAACTTGTAAGCAGTCGAGATCCCCACCCCTAAACCATATATATTCTTGTATGGGACAATAACACAAATCAAATGAAATACAGGGGAAGTCCATGGGAGTCACCCCCACCCCCTTTCTTATTGAAAACTTGTAAACGGTCAAGATCCCCACCCCTAAACCATATATATTCTTGTATGGGATAATAAAACAAATCAAATGAAATTAAGGGGAAATCCCCTGGGGTAACCCCCACCCCCTTCTTTTTGAAAACTTGTAAATGGTCAAGATCCCCACGCCGAAACCATATATATTCTTGTATGGGACCATAAAACAAATCAAATGAAATATAAGGTGAGTCCCCTGGGGTCACCCCCACCCCCTCCTGTTTAAGAACTTGTAAATGGTCGAGATCCCCACCCCTTAACCATATATATTCTTGTACGGGACAAAAAAACAAATCATATGAAATGAAGGGAGAGTCCCCTGGGGATCACCCCCCCCCTTTTGAGAACTTGTAAACGGTCGAGATCTCCACCCCTTAACCATATAAATTCCTGTTCGTATTTTCAAGAAGATTTGAATGACATACAGGGTATATCCGTAGTCGTCACTAATGCATATCATAAACCAATTTGTACTGGACATTGCCCAATGTCAAGCGACAATGGGAATGACGAATTATCGGAGCTTTGTTTTGGGAGACTTCGTAACAGCATTCTGTTACAATTATTTCTTGTTACTGATAAGTTTTATAGATTTTGAAATGAAATTGTATTAATGATAAATAAAATTTTGGATTTTTTTCTTCTTTTCTTTGGTAAATTGTTTGTAGAATTTTGTGGCAAGTTTGTTTGTTATTCTGTAAAAACTAATTTTCTGAATGCTATATATTTTTTTTTTGATGAAGTAAACTCCTTTAAAAACTAAGCTTATATTGTCTATTAATAAACATATATTTAGATTTCTGATTTTGGACCCACTTTTCAAGTTGGTCCAAATTGGGGTCCAAAATTAAACTGTGTTTGATTTCAACATAAATTGAATATATATAGGGTTCTTTGAAATGCTTAATCTAAACCTGTATTTCTTTTCAGTATTAATAAGATAATACCACATTGAGGTCCAAAGGGTCCTAAATTACACTTTTGATTAATTTCATCAAAAATTGAATTCTTTGGTTCTTTGATATGCTGATTCTAACAATGTTTGAGTGTTAAATCATATCTAATTTTAGAGAACTTGGTCATCACTGGTTGTTGTTGTTATTATATTATTGATTTTAATTTGAAAAATTGCATCATATCCAGTTTGAGTTATTTCCCTTTGCACAGAAAATATTATGGATAAAATTAACCTGTGTTTCATTTCAACATAAATTAAATATATATAGGGTTCTTTCAAATGCTGAATCTAAACCTGTATTTAAATATTAGATTTTTGGGCCCAGTTTTCAAGTTGGTCCAAATCAGGGTCCAAAATTAAACTTTGTTTGATTCAACAAAAAAATAATTGATGGGGTTCTTTGAAATGCTGAATCTAACCATGTATTGAGAGATTTTGGATTGTGGGTTCCTTTATCAAATTGGTCCACATTGAGGTCCAAAGGGTCTTAAATTAAACTTTTGTCTGATTTCATCAAAAATTGAATTCTTGGGGTTCTTTGATATGCTGATTCTAATATGTACTTAGATTTTTGATATTGGACCATAATAGGTATTTAAATGTCCAATTTCAAGTATTTCAGTTCTTAAACCACATTCATTTTGTGTCACAAACCTATGCTGTGTCAAATATTCAATCACAATCCAAATTCAGAGCTGTTTTAAGCTGAAATGTAGTGTCCATACTTGCTCAACTGTTCAGGGTTTAAACTCTGCAGGAAAATCCGGATTGCTGTCACTCTGACAGCCTCTTGTATTGACATATATTTAAAATACAAAATGTTCAACTGTATTAGCAATACTGTTCACTGTCCAGTTCATATACCTTTTTTAATATTATCTCTTTTGAACATCCCTGTCTCATTTATAAATCAGATGCATGGAAACTTTGAAAATAAATGTCAATCTTTTTAAAAATATTTTTCCTCACAATTCTTTAATAATGCAAACTGCTGCTAATGATCTTGAGGATGTAGATTTTTTTCTTCAAATCATGATTGAATATTTGTTTATTGAATCCCTGTTGGTGAGATCAGGTCACTGAGAACTATCAGTTAAAAGTGCAAATAGATATGTACAATGATGTATGCAGTATTCATTAGTTCTGAGAAATTTTTGTGTAAGGAATTGGAAATTGCTTTTCTACATGGTACATGTAAATGGAGATTTGTTCTTCAATCCATTTGGATGTAATTTTTATATGTGTTCTGGGTGAGAGCATGCATCCCTAAAATAAAAAAAAAACCATTTCTGGCATAAAAAATAAAGTTAAGAAAAAAAAAAATCCCTTGCTAGTAACAGAGTGACAGTGGTAGCTGGTCATCTTTGGAAGTAAAGAAAATAATCACATCAAGAAAAGAAGACCAGCATAAATTTTAATATATTGAAAATTACATATTTGTGGTGGGAAAGGTAGGAACATCAAATTATCTCCCTTTTATTAGGTTTGAACTAGTTGACTACTGCTGTCATTAGCTTGAATGAAAACGATTTTCATTGAGTTAACGTTGTAAAATAAATGCTCATAAAATTTTTAAAGAAGAATGCCAAATTTAAAAATTTGAGAATTAAATAAATCAGTGTGCTTAATTTTAGTGAGTCCATTGACCTGAGGTGTGCAGTTTTTTCTGAAGTGCCATAATTATATGAATTAGTTGAAATTTTAATACGCTGTAGTAAAGGCTCACATTTTAAAGAAATGATTCTTTGGGGCTGCTGGACTAACTTAAAAAAAAAAAATTGACAAACAAGCATTCAGTTGTATTAAAGAAAGTAACTTGTTACCATAAACTGTGGTATCAGAAGAACAACAATTGTTAATACACTGAAAAGTTAGATTGAACTTGAAGAAAATTGGAATCTCTCTTGTAAACATGGCTTATCATTATGGAAAGTGCTCATTCTTTTTCACTTCAGGCATATATCTTAGGGGCCTTGGTGGCAGAGTGGTCTAAGTAGTTCAAATAATGTATCACTAGCCTGTCAACACCAAAGTTGTGAGTTTGAACCTGCACTTGGCAGATGTTTGACTCCAATCTTAATTGAATAGGATTATCAGTTATCCTGCCAAATGTTTGTGATTCTCTCCCAGCACTCCGGCTTCCTCCATCAATAAAAACTGACTGCCACGTAATAGCCAATAGTGCTAAAAGTGACGTTTAACACTTATCAATCAATCAATCATTATATTTTAGGTTTTTTTTTTCACTCGATAATTTATGTTTATTACCATATTATATAGATTAAGATATCTTTTACATGCTCAATTTAAATAAAGTGAGTTAAAATTAAACTGATTCAAATCAAATTCTGTTTGTGAAGTTCAAATCAATTGATAAATAAGAGTGTTGAAGCCTGTTTTTCTTTGGTCTAAATTGTAATTAGAAAGATTTGAAAAAAATAATATTTGGTAAATATATTATAAGTTGTTGACATTTGCTTCTTTGAAATATAAAGGCTGTATAGATATTTATCTATAAATCAGGATAACTATCTTTAATCTTGACCCTCATAAATTGCAATCTACTTTATTTTAAAGTCAATATTTAAAATAAAGTACATTATAAAAGTATATTAATATCTTTCTACCACACATTTTAAAGGAGAATAAAAATGTATAAACCTATATGATAATTTCTGAGGGATTATCCTTACATCTTCATTATAATGATATAAATTGAAAAGTCAATATTTATTATAGGGAGAATAAATAATATTTTACTTTTCTGACTTAAAGTTCTAAATTAAGTACAAGCTAACATAAATAAAAATGAGCTAATACTTTACACTATCACCATATATTCACCTGAAATATTAAAATTAGTGTAATTTCCATTGTCATATTAATTTTGTTTTAGTAACTTGTCAACTTCTGGCTTCAAAGTATAACTTTGAACCTCTGATTAGATAAAAATTATGGCAGATTAAGATGACAACCAGCTCTGATAGTATTAATTTTTCGGTTCTTCCTTCCAGAATTTCAAGCTTTTTTAGTAGTTACTTCCACAATGGTCATGTTTTTACATATTATGAACTGTACAAACTGATTGTATCATGTTTTGCATTTTAAACCCTGAAATATTTCAAACAAAACAGTGCTGTTTATATTTTAAATTTGATATCATATTTGTTTTTGAAGAAAGTCTCATTGAACTTTTTGGATGATATGGGAGTTAGTACTGCAAGATAGCCAAAGTCCCAAGTCAGGAACCTCTAGCTTTTGTTAGTCTTGTGTTTATTTTAAATATTGGTTCATAGTTAAGTGTGGAGTCCATTTCGCTGAACTAGTATACATTATTGTTTAGGGGCTAGCTGAAGCCTGCCTCTGGGTTAGGGATTTTCTCTCTGTGTTCAAGACCCATTGTTGGCCTTGGGCTGTTTTCTGCTCTTTAGTCAGGTTGTTTTCTCTTTGATTATTCATCAAGTTTCAGCAGTCTAAAAAATATTTTAGCTATAAAAAATCATGACATGAAAAAAAAAAATTAAAATATCAGGAACACTTACAATAATTGGTGATTTTAAGTCTTATATAACTTACTTTTATACATTTTCTTTCAGTGAGATAAAGTTACACTATACAATATACAGAAAGTAGCTGAAGGATACCTGTAATAAGAAATATGGAAACCAGTGAACTAGATATGTCATGTGAGAACATTGGCACTAATTCAGTGAATCAGGACAACAACAGTGAAATGGACTATGATAATAGATTTGAAATGTATATGACATCATGTAATGCTGAGACACCAGAAAGTTTAGATAACTCTGACACTGGTTGTGTGTTTAAATCTCATATACCACAAACTAGGTCTGCAGATTTTTTATCTACAAATATGACAAACAGTCCAAAAGTGAATAATTTTAAAAACAGTTATAAAACTAAAAATCAGTTTTCTAGTTTATCGAAACTTTTATACAATAAAATAAGAAAGCAATCAAAAGCTGTATCAGGGATTTGTAATCTGACCACATCTGAATTACCTCCCTTACCAATTTCACTAGTTATGACTCATCCTGCATTTGAATTCATGGAAATAAGACTACCTTTATTACACACTTTCACTGACTCAACAACGAGTACTACTCATACTGTTATAGATGAACATGGCCTTTTAGAAGGTCAGCAATTAAAATATAAACAACCATTGTCCAAAATAGATGTTATAATTCGTCCAGCAAATGAAATTTTACTTGAGGAGTTGAAACATAGCCTTTCTTGCGAAGACTTTCAGCTTAAAATGAGACAACATTGTAATCAGACTGATCATATCATTAAGGAAAAGGTTGAAAATTTACATGAAATGGCGGAGAAAGAGTGCTCGCTACTATTTGCCCCTGATAGTATTAAACAGGATATAATATTTCAGACTCAAGATGCTGTTGACAATTTAATGAACAAAAGGAATGACTTTAGTGGGGTAAATTGTTGTACCCTACCTCCTGGGAAGCTTTTGATTGGTCGATCTTCAAGTGGAGAATGGTTGATTAGTCGTCCACAACCAAATAAAACTGTTAAATTCAAAGGCACCAGAATCCAAAAATGGCCACGAAAGGAAAATTTACCTCAAGAAAAACCCTATTTAGATAGTGTAAAAAATATGGAAAAAGAGAAGGCTAAAGCTGCATCGAGCATTAAGTCAAACTCTCCTCAGAAAGACACATCATCAAGTAGTTTCATTTGTATTGAAAATTGTAGTAGTAGGGCGAAAGGGAATCCGACTCGTATTAAAGAAACAATAGTGAAAGAAGGTACAGGTAAAGATTATATACCTCACAGCTATATCAATTCATTAAAGAAAAATGCATCATTGAAAGTAAAATTAGATGATTATCTAATTTAGAACTAACTTGTTAACTTAGCAACCATAGATATATATATATATATATATATATATAGAATAATGGCATTTTTGATACGCATAGAAAACATTGTGCTAGTTTTTTGGTTGTATGAATGATGTCGTGTGCATTTCATTGTTAAATTGATGCGGATGGACATGAATATGTGACATTGCTCACTCTTATGTGGCGTCATTGCCTAATATTGTATCAGGTCCTGTCCATGATATAGAAAAATATTAGGCAGTAACATCAAAGGAAAAATATACAAATGGCTGATAAACAGTAGTGTAGACATATTTATTTTTAGGATCATGAACAGTGTTCTCCCCAGAATTTTCAAATAACACCATGGAAATTAACATATAGCACTGTTTTTCCCAAAAATATAGCACCATGGCCCCTATACATTCTATGATAAAATCATCCAAGATAGCACCATGGTAGAACATATAGCACCAGGGTACCATGGTGCTTTAAGGCCCTGGGGAGAACACTGATGAATTTACACTACACATGTTTGTACAGTAAGTAGTCAGATTTTTCAAGCTCTTCCTGTTCAGTTTCATACTGAATTTTGCAGCTACATGACTTTGTTATGTTTAATAGAGGGATGATTTTATTTTCACAAGTTATCACTGGTTATCATTTCCGCAAAGGATGGGGGACTAAATAGTAATCACAGTTTCAATATCTGATTAACGTTCTAGGCGTTTTCAGAACAACTGATGATTTTAAGTGAATTTTATTTTAACTCCAAACATGTCAAAGAAAAAAAAAATATTGTTTTTTTTACTATAATTCAGTTAACACTATTATATAATGCATAAATAATATTTTTTTTTACTGCAATCATTTTTTCAAACTATTAAAGTTTCCATACATTGACTTTTTTCCATAAGGGAGTACTTGAGTATCACTCATTTGACTTTGTTAGTACATGGGTGCGAACTTTTATTTTTTTATATATAGAACAATTTCCAAGATGAAGTTAAAGTTCTATAGTTCCTTATTGGCTTCTTCAGAATCTTATAGTCAATAAAAACTAGAAAGTCCACAATAACTGATGTCACTCTTTTCAGATAAGACACAGAATTACCCACCAACAATAGGACATGAAAACCAAATTGACACAATTGATACTATTATTCAACCAATACCAGTAATGATGATGTGTAATGAAGGAGAGTCACTGAAAGTTATACACGTCCCCTTTAAAACAGAGAACCAGCTGGTGGAGGAAAATAACAGTTACCACTCAAACACATGTCAAAATATTGAAAGTGAAGGTACAATTAAAGTGAAAGAAGAACCAGTTGATACAGGTTATGATACAGGTCAGACAAGTGCATCTGGTAAAGATATACAAGATGAAAATTCTCCACTGATAGTAAGATTTTCCAATTTGAAACAGTTTGGCAGCAAAGAAATTAAACATACATCAAGCAGCACAGAATCTAAAGTTGGCCAGAAAAGAAAGTCAACAGAAGATGACCCTTGGGCAAACAAGAAATGTATTTCATTGAACCATGTAAGTGTTAGATATTGATAGAAGATAGTAAATCTGTTTGAATATAAAAGTAAGAAGATGTGGTATGATTGCCAATGAGACAACTTTTTCACCAGAGACCAAAGGACATAGAAGTTAACCAATATACTTCACCATACGGCCTTCAACAATGAGAAAAAACCCATACTGCATAATAAGCATTAAAGGCCCCAAAATGACAAATGTAAAACAATTCAAAAGAGAAAACTAACGTCCTGATTGATGTACAAAACAATAAATGAAAAATAAATATAATATACAGCAACAAATGACGACCACTGAATTACAGGTTCCTGACAGAAATTCTGCGACTCTTTACACAAAAAATCTTACAAGTAAAATTGATAGTAAGTTATACTGAAATGTTCAAGACTTATGAGTAATTTTACTTGTAAAATTGTTTGTGAAAAGAGCTGCCGTCTTATAGAAAAAGATAAGGAATACTTGTGAGTCTGGCTATATACATGTATTTGTTAAAATTTTAAACAACACTTTTTACATCTGTTGATAAAGAAAATCAAAGTGCTCAGTGAAAATCTCTTAACAAATACAACTTACAAACTGAAAAATGAATTCTTCCTTGAAAGTTTGGACATTGTTGTACAAACTGAAAGATGAATTCTTCCTTGAAAGTTTGGACATTGTTGTACCAAAACTTGAACACTGAAAAACAGACTAGGTTTATCAGAGGATTGAAAAGGGCCAGAATTTTAATTTTTCATGATCAGCCATAAGTTTGTGACAGGTGTGTAACGGCACAGGCTTTATAAATCAATATGTATATATCACCATAGTTTATTGTGACTTAATCATCAATACATATTATCACAGTTGTATTTCTGTATCACATAAATTTTTTTATAAATTCTTTTATGCAAATTTCACATTAAAAATTTAAATATATTTTCTTCTTCTTCAATCTCATAGAAATTTTACGCAAAGTCTTATGTTTGGTGAGATTCTAGACATCTCATTGCGAATATATACCAATCTTTATAAATCTGTATGACAGTCATAGCTGATTAAAATAACCTAACATTTCACATGTTACAAAAACATTTGTTAGTATTAACAAAAATGACTGCCAACCTTCACTTCAAACTATCCACGTTATTATCTGCGCAATCACCATAATCTCTAACCTATAAGAGCTTCAAAAAGCTCTTTTTACAATAAAATCAAAAACTATTTCTCTATGTCTTTCCTTTCTTTTTAAGATATATTTTGAACGTCTAAATTCACCAAATAGTAATTTTTAAGAGTAAAAATAATTTCCAAACTTAATTTCAATAACTGTACAAAGGGAAACAACTCAATCTAAAAAAAAATATCAAAATCTGTACCTCTCATGTTACAATTACAAACACGTTTTGCAGGATCTCAACATTGACGACTTCAAGTCTAAACCTCCTGCTTGCACCTGTGCTAGTACCCGATTTACATATAATCCAGCTGGCGACGTTATTACCGGAGACCTCAACATTGTCAATAACACTTCCCTGCGAAATTTGTTATCCAAAGGTCCAAAATATCGTGAGCCTAAATCCTTCAATTGGAAATACAACTTCAAAATACTGATGGATTCAGTGGAGGATTATGCCAGTCAATGGGCTAAATGCGAGAAAGAAGACGTAGATACTCTTTCCGAATGGATTAAGGCTGTGAGGTTGTTGATACAAATCCGAATTAAGAAACTAAATGGGTTTATCAATACCCACGCTACGTCAATTTTAAAAGACCCAAATGTTGCAAAACACTTGTCCTACCTCCATGACAAATATGTTGTTGTCCCCGCAGATAAAGCCCCAAACAACATCGTTTTTGTGTGTAAATATCATTACATAAACTGCTTGATAAATGAATTGGGTATTGACAATTCAATTGGAAACTCAACATATACCCTCATGACACTTACCAAAGAGAAAATCCTGGATAATCATAGGTCTGTTCTATGTTCCTTTGGAATTTCAACCAAAGATGAAGAACTGGATCTTCCATCACTGTATTGGATACCTAAACTACATAAGTGTCCTTACAAACAACGGTATATTGCTGGGTCCTCCAATTGCAAGTGCTCCACGAAACCTCTTTCTAAATTATTAACATCTATTTTATCAGCAATCAAAGCCAGGCTCCAAAGTTATTGTGAAACTGCATATTCTAGAGGTGGCGTGAATCAGATGTGGATACTAAAAAATTCCAAAGATCTTTTAGAGTACATACAATCTAAGACTCTCTCATCTTGCAATAGTATTAAAACATTTGACTTTTCTACACTTTACACAAGTATTCCCCATTCCAAACTAAAAGACAACAAGTATTCCCCATTCCAAACTAAAAGCCAAATTGAAAGAGTTGGTATTACTTTGTTTCATTAAAAAGAATGGCGAACGTAGATACAAGTATCTTGTCTTGGGGAGGGATAAATCCTACTTTGTAAAGAATTACTCTGATTCAAACAAAAAATTCTCTGAAACTGACATTATCAAGATGCTTGATTTCTTGATTGACAACATATTTGTTACGTTTGGAGGAGGTGTTTTTCAACAGACTGTCGGAATTCCAATGGGAACCAATTGTGCCCCTCTTCTTGCCGACTTGTTTCTTTATTATTATGAGGCCGACTTCATACAGGAACTTCTTAGGAGTTAGCAATATCCTTTAACTTTACGTTCTGCTATATAGATGATGTTCTCTCACTAAATAATACAAAATTTGGTGACTATGTTGAACGAATCTATCCCATCGAACTAGAGATAAAGGATACTACAGATACAAATAAGTCTGCCTCATATCTTGACTTACATTTAGAAATTGACAATGAGGGTCGGTTGAAAACAAAACTTTACGACAAAAGAGATGATTTCAGCTTCCCAATTGTGAACTTTCCATTTCTATGTAGCAACGCCTGCATACGGAGTATATATCTCCCAATTGATACGATATTCTCGGGCTTGTATTTCCTATCATGATTTCCTTGATAGAGGATTGCTGCTCATAAGGAAGCTATTAAACCAAGAGTTCCAAATGGTGAAGTTGAAATCATCCCTTTGTAAATTTTACAGACGCCATCATGAGTTGGTTGACCGTTATGAAATAACCGTTTCACAGATGATATTGGATATGTTCCTTATGTTGTAACTACAATACCCTTTCCTTTTCACGAATGTGACCTACCGAATTAGACTATTTACCGGATTTGTAATAACATAAGCAACACGACGGGTGCCACATGTGGAGCAGGATCTGCTTACCCTTCTGGAGCACCTGAGATCACTCCCAGTTTTTGGTGGGGTTCATGTTGCTTAGTCTTTAGTTTTCTATGTTGTGTCATCTGTACTATTATTTGTCTGTTTGTCTTTTTATTTTTGGCCATGGTGTTGTCAGTTTGTTTTCGATCTATGAGTTTGACTGTCCCTCTGGTATCTTTTGTCCCTCTTTTACAGGTGTAAAATATGAGTTCCAGTAAGAAAACACTGTAATGCATTTTCTTTTGACCTTGTCTTTTATTTTAAATAGGTGTGCAATGTAGGAGTGAGTGATTGTATGCCAGAAACCTAGATTGCCTGAACTCAGAGTATCTCTATTTTGATTTTCATGTCGTCCTATACTGTATAATTACATTTTTATAAAAATCTAAACTACAAAAAAACTTCTTAACAATACCAGAAAGTTTTGATTTTGTATCATGTGTATAGAGATTACATATTGAATAACATATCCATTGGGCATAAATAAGATCATTATTTTATATATGATGGACTATCAACTTTTATTTTATAATGATCGGCAAAGAAAAGGTGCATCAGGCAATTTTAGTTGTGATACTTGCATGTACAATTTGTACATGTCTGTATATCCCTTCAACTTTGTAAATTCAAAATTACAAGGAATTTCTTTTTAATTTTCTTATCATTTGTATTTATTTAGATATAAAAATAAAGAGATGTAGTTTGATTGCCAATTCAATGAGACAACTATCCATCAAGACTAAATGATAAAAATGTGAATAACTACAGGGGATCATACAGCCTTCAACATTGTGTAAAACCAATACTGTAAAGTATCTTTAAAAGCCCCATGGATGACAACATGTGAAACAATTGAAAAGAGAAAACCAACAGCCTGATTTATTTGCCCTCATGTCAATGATGTCTGGTAGTTGAAGATGAATTGTAATCAATCTGGACAAAAATATTGCAGATCATTAGTTATTGGTCAATAAACATACTTCAAATTATGTATAATACATGTACTGGAAAAGAATTTTTACACATTTTTTTTTTTATCTTTAAGCAGTTTGGTTTGATAAATAGTTCGGCAATATGTTACTGCACCCAATTTTTATGAAAATTGTCTTATTACAAAATGCCTTTGTATGTAAGCTGTTTTATTTACTGAACAGGGTCACACAATCAAAATTGTACTTTCTCCTTAAATATTGCATATCATATCCTATTAAGGTGTAATGTTAATATTAAAAGTATAATTTATATATCGAGATATGATTTCAGGTTCCTTTAAAAACAGATCTGGTTACAGACAACAGTTCCTACTCAGAAGAAAAAGGTAAAAATACTGGGACAGGGTACTTCTATGATTCTGTTAAAAGTCTGGTTAAACACAGTAGCATATTTTATTATTAACATTCATAGAACTTGGATTTAGAGAACAAACTTTTATTATACTATTGGACCAGGAGTATAGCCTTATTACCTATTTTTATTTTATTTTTATTTCAGTCAAAGTAATGGGATAAAAGGTTTTATATATGTCCGTAATATGGATTGATTTTAATTGGTTATCCTTTTTATACGCCCGTTTACGGGACGTATTATGGTATACCATTGACCACCTGTCCGTCCGTCTGTCGGACATTAATTCAAAAATGCTTTAACAAATATGCATGAAACTTTGGTGAATTGTTTATATCTATTGACGTGAGCTCCCTTTCATTTTTATAAATTTCGGATTTACCGTTTTCCAAGTTTTGGGGTTTTATTCATTAAAAAAGGGGGGATTTTCCAGTTTTCGGACAATAACTCAAAAAAAATTTCACCAATTTGCATGAAACTTTTGTGAATTGTTCATATCTATTGACGTGAGCTCCCTTTCGTTTTTTATAAATTTCGAATTTACCGTTTCCGAGTTTTGGGGTTTTATTCATCAAAAAAGGGGGGATTTTCCAGTTTTCAGACAATAACTCAAAAACAATTTCATGAATTTGCAAGAAACTTTGGTGAATTGTTTATTTCTATCGACATGAGCTCCCTTTTGATTTTTATAAATTTCAGACTACGTTTCCGATTTATGGGGTTTTATTCATTACAAAAAAGGGAGATTTTCCAGTTTTCAGACAATAACTCAAAAAAGCTTTCAGCATTTTTTATGAAACTTTGGTAAATTGTTTATATCTATTTTTGTAAGCTCCCTTTTGATTTTTATAAATTTTTCCCTTTTACGTTTCCGAGTTATAAGATTTTATTTGTTTATATTCTGACAACAGATTTACTAAGTATTGCGCAACAGCACTATGTATTGCACAACAGCAAGAAATCTTTCATATAACCAATTTCAAGTTCTTTGACTACATTTATTCAGAAACCTATAATATATCAAATATTTAATTACAACCAAATTCAGACCTGTATCAAGCTTGAATATTGTGTCCATTTTTGCCCCAACTGTTCAGGGTTGGACCTCTGCGGGCGTATCCAGCTGCGCTCAGCGAAGCAGTTTATTTTAGTTGTTATCCCATGAAAAATTAGCTTACAAATATTTTGGATCACAACTTGAACTGTCTTAAAGGGAAGAAAACTCAAATATTTTACAAGTGAATATTGTGTATTGAACATGCTAAAATAATACAATTTGTGGTGTATGGGAGGCAACTCTTGATATCCATTTCATATGAGAAGCATAGGTTTCATAGAACAAATTATAAAAAAATGTTACATGGGAATGCACAAAGAGAAAATAAAAATCATAAAATGTATGTTTTTGTTACATTTTTTTATGTTTAAGTAATTTACTGTGTTTGTACAAAACATAAGATTTTGTTTTAATGTTTCAGATAAATGCTTGCTAACTTAAAGACGATTTTGAATGACAAAGCATTACATGATGATACAAACTTATACATTACCAATTAACTTTTTAAAAATATTACTCTTTTCATTTTTATATGTAATTCTTGTCACAAATCTATGTCCATAATTAATTAACTAGTGTTGATAAAGCATGATATTCCAGAATTTGTCTGTCCACAGTAACAAAAAAAATTCTAAAATATAGTAAGATATACAATAAATAAAACAATTCAATTTCAAGTACTAAGAAACAGATTAAAATAAGCTTGTTTCTTGGTCCTATTTGTTTATTCTGTATTTATCTCGTATATTGCATGATTTAATTCATTGAATAAACTATTGTTCAAACCAGGTACTGCATTATAAAATAAATCTCATTACAAACGTTGTTTAGAACCATTGAGTACATAAATCAGAACGTTAATGAAATTGTTTTTAAAACATGTAATGTAAGTAATGATAATGGATTTATTGAAATTAGTTGATAGGAATAAAAAGACAGGACATGTGCAGTATACTTCAATGAGACAGCAATCTAACAAAACATTACAGCAAAGATTTAAAGGTCAATATACAGTCATGTTCAGTACACCAATTGACAAGTGTCTTTTTCACAAAGATTTAAGAAGTTATCTTCAACAGATGGAGACCTTAGGTTGACAATCTCCCATGAATTAATTCATGCAAACAGCATTCAGCAATACAAAATAACATTGCAGAATGTATGATGTACCTTAGAATTACCACAAAACCTGCTATGATTTGAACCTCTCAAAAGTTTTGAAGAAATTTATTACATGTGGGTTCACCAGAGATATGCTTACTTTTGTATATGTACTGATAGGTCTTGTAAAAGAAAATAAGTTTAACACTGTAACTATTCATTTTGCTACTTTTATTTATAGCTTCAACAAGTCTGTTAGAAGACAATTACTCTGATTCTGAAGAAGAGGATTCAGAGACGAGTAGAAGTGGACAGGAATCCTCTGGTATTAGATTTCCTGTAATGAATGATGGGGAAATAGATGCTTTGATGGATATTGAAACAACAAGAGGTACAAAGAGACAAACAAGATGGGGAGTTAGAAAATTCAAGGGTTAGTTTGTAGCATGTCAACTTGTATTGTATTATAGTGGTAAATGATTACTATGTAGTTTTTTTTTTATAGTAAACTATTGTTCATGTAGTTACTCAACATCTAACATATGACTGAGGACATATATCTGATGTTATTTGCTAAGAGAATACTATCTTTCTTAATACCAAGAGGCCAAGCTTTTGACAGCAATTTGTTTAGGTTGTTTTTATGAGGAAATTTTCTTCTGAACCTATATAGTATAAAAAAGAAGATGTGGTATGATTGCCAATGAGACAACTCTCCACAAGAGACCAAATGACACAGAAATTAACAACTATAGGTCGCCGTACGGCCTTCAACAATGAGCAAAGCCCATACCGCACAGTCAGCTATAAAAGGCCCCGAAATGACAATGTAAAACAATTCAAACGAGAAAACTAACTCAACTAGACTCATTTTACAACAGATATTGGAAATCCCATTTTTTTTCTATTGAGAGCTTTTCAATTGATGTATTGCTTAAAGTTGTTTTTTTCCAGATTTAGACTCTAAATTTTTTAAACCAAAAGCCAACCTATAAACAATTAATAATAAGTTAGTAAATTATATATTTGTCATAACAAGAACATTTGGTATGGTAAAAATTTGTTTATTACCAGTCAGGGGCATTACTTAAACAAGTAACTTTTAAAATAACCTATACAAGTTTTGTTGAAAACAAGGCTATTTTATATATTACTTATATAAGTAACTTTTGTAAATATTATTTTTATAGGTGTCCATTCAAACAGATTTTACTAGCTTTAAAAAATTTTCACAGACATCTGCTTATTTTTCCCATTAAATACAAAAACTGATCCTCCTGAAACACTATTTGGCTTTCTGTCTCACTTATCTTTCATATCGACGTTTCTTGGTCAAAGATTGGTCTATTGGGACTATTAAAATATCATTTTCCTTGAAAATCTTGAGGTAGATAGATATAAATAGACAGAAATTTGTGATTTAATTAAGACTTGAAGTTATTTATAATTTGTAACCCAAAACAATTACATATGTTCCTTAAATAATTGTAATTACTAATTCTTTCAAAGATGAATAATATAACTTAAACAAGTAATATTTTTGTCATTATTTTTAAAGTAAACTCGTGTCTCTATACTCCTCTCAGATTTAACAAATTCTTAATTTTATGTGATAAAATGATGTAAAATTTCATAAAAACTATATTTAGTTCATGCTTCTATTGAAATTCAAAATAACTCTATTGAGTAATTTAATAATTTTTAAAAACAAAAATTACCTATATAAGTAACTAAATAAAATAAATTGTTTAAGTAACGCCACTGACTGATTACCATCATGTGACCATTGTGTCAACACACTTCGTGTGGACTATAGTCCTTACAGAATAAAGCAGTGGTCAGTTTTTCAGAAAAAGGACATAGTTCTTTGTAGTTTATTATATCCTACCTTCTATAGATTTCAGAATATTCAATTGTTTGTGCGATGTCACATCTTGACCAAAATATTTAATACACAGCTTTTCTCTTGTCCCATATGAAATTAAGTGACCATTTATTTACCATATTAGGTCACTGACGGCCTGTGTTAAATAGATATGCTGATAAATTTTGGAATGAATGTAAAGGTTGCAACTCCCTGAGGCAACGCAAAAATCAGATGGTTTTGGTCCTACTTGTCTTATTTGGTTATGTAGTATCCCAAGTATTTATACATCTTTGGCTTTCTAACATTTATTTCTGAGCATTCCCAAGAAAAACGCCTTGAATACAATATTTTTTATTTTGTATACTGGATATACTGTATATATTATCTTTATAAGTTCCTTTTGACTGAGGGAAAAGAGGTACTTATTGAAGTACATATTTGAAAAAAAAATCACCAAGAAGAATTGTTTCTAAGATTTATATTCCTGTTTTTATTGTGTTTTATTGTTTGATAATATTCTCCTACTAGAAATTTATTTTAATTATTTACATTGCCTAAACTTACATTTTGAAATATATTGCTTTTGTAAAGATCTTATTTAGCTTTTTTCTGCATTGTACCAGAAAGTTGCATGTCAGTTATCTATAGAACTTCAAAACATTTAAGTTTTACATTTCAATCAGAAACCTGCATGGTAGAATAACAAGTTTTGAGATGTAAAAACATGCCTTTAACAATTTTTCTCAGGCTGGCTCGTAATTTTTTATTAGAGTTCAATGTTTCATCTCATTAATTCAACAAAGAAACTGATTGTGCAAAGATCTTAAGTATTTGCGCAAGGCCTTCAAAAATTGCCCCTTGGGGGCTTGTAAATGAGCAGTGTTCTGAAGATAACAGACAAATGAGATTTTCATTGTCCATGAAATTACACTTAAATGATTAGTAAAGACATCTGCAAAGGACAGACAATCAAAAATTCTATTAGAGCAAAGAAGTCCTAAGAATTCAAGAAGAGAAGATAGGATGACTTTTTTACTTGTATAAGTAAAAAAGTCTGAATGTCTAAGGGACATAACTAAGCCCAATTTTTTTTTACTTGTACAGGTAAATAAAATACACTTGTATAAGTATCCTACAAATTTACTTATATAAGTATATAAATATTTACTTCTTCAAGTAAATAAAAATTACTTGTACAAGAAGTACCCCTGACTGAATAAGGTGGCTTCTAAGTGGTAAATTATATTTTAAGAGATTTATTTTCTCTTTTATCATATCAATACATCAAGATTAACATTCAATGTCTATTAATAATAGTAAGAGGTCCATATATGTGTTAGAATTTTGGGCTTATACAACAGATAAGTATTTCTTTTAGCTTAATTTAAGAGATTACCACATACATCTTTTGTTTAATTTACATTATACAAGACAGAATATATAAATACTTGTTTCATGTCACCAATTTTGAATGACTTATGCTTACACAAAAATGTTCATAAAATGTGCAAGGGTAGACATGAAATTAAATTAAGGTAAGTAGAGAGGCAGGAAACTGAACTATACCTTACTTTGGCCTTAGGTTAGTTGGATTTATATATAGAAATTTGACATGAATTCAAGCACAAGGAATATCAGTAAATTATTAAGTTGGTAGAAAACAGCTTTATATAATAAATTTTAAGTGCTGTTACTGTTTTCATTTTATGTGACACATTGATAATCTTGCTTTTTTCCTTCCAGAATGGTTGAAAAAATGGGAGTTTGATCCAAACTTTGAAGATTTATCCATAAAAGTTCTTGATGAGAGACTTGAAAAATTTTATGCTGAATTAAGAACAGCTGATGGAAAATTATATGCAACAAACTCATTCGGAGGCATTAGAGCTTCCATTAACCGTCATCTGACTACTGACCCTTATAATAGGTCGTTATCCCTATTCACTGATCCAGCCTTTCATAAATCAAACAAAGTTTTCAAGGCTATCATGCTAAGATAAAAATGGAAGTTGTGAAGAAAGAACAACCACCACCAATTTCAGGAGAGGACATGAAAAAGTTAACAGGATCACCAGTTTTAACTATTTACACAAATAGTAGGGTGCCCAGTCAACAAATTTGATCGATTTGGGTTAATGGAATAACACACAGCTATATTTTTTATCATTGGAAAGAGGAGAACAAGCCTCGTCGAAATAACGATGTCGTCGTTGTCTACAGTGGTCACGATTTTCTTAAATTTGGGTCAAAGGTCAAATCTAAAATTTCAAGGAAAACGTAGAGTCACGTTTAGACAGCTGGCCACCCCTACATATTTGCGTTTATAGCAAAATAAATTCGAATAATTCAGAGGATTATAACTATAGTTTCAATATTTAGGACTAATTTGATAATTTTATTGCCAAATATGGTTTGAGATTGACAGTTGTACTTATAGGGTGCACATTTACAATTTTCATTCAGCTGTTAAATAACAGTGACCTTGACCTTTTAAAAGTTCCAAAATCGGAATTTTTACATAAGATTCGATACAAGTGATTTTTAGAGATGTTTTTTAGATATTAACATTTATAAAAGAGGGACAAAAGATACCAGAGGGACAGTCAAACTCATAGATCGAAAACAAACTGACAACGTCATGGCCAAAAATAAAAAGACAAACAGACAAATAATAGTACAGATGACACAACATAGAAAACTAAAGACTAAGCAACACGAACCCCACCAAAAACTGGGGGTGATCTCAGGTGCTCCGGAAGGGTAAGCAGATCCTGCTCCACATGTGGCACCCGTCGAGTTGCTTATGTTATTAAAAATCCGGTAAATAGTATAATTCGGTAAGTCACATTCGTGAAAAGGGAAAGGTATTGTAGTTACGACATAAGGAACATATCCGATATCATCTGTGAAACGGTTATTCCATAACGGTCAACCAACTTGTGATGGCGTCCGTAAAATTTACGAAGGGATGACTTCAACTTCACCATTTGGAACTCTTGGTTTAATAGCTTCCTTGTGAGCAGCAATCCTCTATCAAGGAAATCATGATAGGAAACACAAGCCCGGGAATATCGTATCAATTGGGAGATATATACTCCGTATGCAGGCGCTGCTGGAATGTTGCTACATAGAAATGGAAAGTTCACAATTGGGAAGCTGAAATCATCTCTTTTGTCGTAAAGTTTTGTTTTCAACCGACCCTCATTGTCAATTTCTAGATGTAAGTCAAGATATGAGGCAGACTTAACTGTATCTGTAGTATCCTTTATCTCTAGTTCGATGGGATAGATTCGTTCAACATAGTCACCAAATTTTGTATTATTTAGTGAGAGAACATCATCTATATAGCGGAACGTAGAGTTAAAGGATATTGCTAACTTCTTATCTCTCTTCCTAAGAAGCTCCTGTATGAAGTCAGCCTCATAATAATAAAGAAACAAGTCGGCAAGAAGAGGGGCACAATTGGTTCCCATTGGAATTCCGACAGTCTGTTGAAAAACACGTCCTCCAAACGTAACAAATATGTTGTCAATCAAGAAATCAAGCATCTTGATAATGTCAGTTTCAGAGAATTTTTTGTTTGAATCAGAGTGATTCTTTACAAAGTAGGATTTATCCCTCCCCAAGACAAGATACTTGTATCTACGTTCGCCATTCTTTTTAATGAAACAAAGTAATACCAACTCTTTCAATTTGTCTTTTAGTTTGGAATGGGGAATACTTGTGTAAAGTGTCGAAAAGTCAAATGTTTTAATACTATTGCAAGATGAGAGAGTCTTAGATTGTATGTACTCTAAAAGATCTTTGGAATTTTTTAGTATCCATATCTGATTCACGCCACCTCTAGAATAGGCAGTTTCACAATAACTTTGGAGCCTGGCTTTGATTGCTGATAAAATAGATGTTAATAATTTAGAAAGAGGTTTCGTGAAGCACTTGGAAGACCCAGCAATATACCGTTGTTTGTAAGGACACTTATGTAGTTTAGGTATCCAATACAGTGATGGAAGATCCAGTTCTTCGTCTTTGGTTGAAATTCCAAAGGAACATAGAACAGACCTATGATTATCTAAGATTTCCTCTTTGGTAAGTGTCGTGAGGGTATATGTTGAGTTTCCAAGTGAATTGTCAATACCTAATTCATTTATCAAGCAGTTCATGTAATGATATTTACACACAAAAACGATGTTGTTTGGGGCTTTATCTGCGGGGACAACATATTTGTCATGGAGGTAGGACAAGTGTTTTGCAACATTTGGGTCTTTAAAAATTGATGTAGCGTGGGTATTGATATGCCCAGAGACATATTATATGTCTCTGATATGCCCATTTAGTTTCTTAATTCGGATTTGTATCAACGACCTCACAGCCTTAATCCATTCGGAAAGAGTATCTACGTCTTCTTTCTCGCGTTTAGCCCATTGCCTGGCATAATCCTCGACTGAATCCATCAGTATTTTGAAGTTGTATTTCCAATTGATGGATTTAGGCTCACGATATTTCGGACCTTTGGATAACAAATTTCGCAGGGAAGTGTTATCGACAATGTTGAGGTCTCCGGTAATAACGTGGCCAGCCGGATTATATGTGAATTGGGAACTAGCACAGGTGCAATCAGGAGGTTTAGACTTGAAGTCGTCAATGTTGAGATCCTGCAAAACGTGTTTGTAATTGAAAATTTTAGTTGCAATTGGTTTGGTATATAAGTTGCCCTCCCAAAATATTATTTTTTCCGTCTTTTGATAGATGTTCGTCATGATTTTCTGGGTAAATATTCAATTTTCTTTTGGTGAATGTGGAAGCACATCAAATAGTACTTAGTTCCAAAACTGATGAATATTAACGCAGAATTGATTGAATAAAAGCAGGTCTGAGTATATATTTGCTTTACAGAAATAAAAAAACAAACTGCAAACGGTGAAAAGGGGGAGGGTTTCTGTTACAAGTTATGAAAATAAAATGAGCATAAGAAATAGCAGGCTAATCACTCCATCTTACACACTTATATCAAGTGTAATGTACATGACATATCGAACATAAAATGGCCTACAATTGACATGAAGTTAAAGATTATCTACAAAAAGTACACATTGATGTATTTTACAAACACTTGTAAACAACATCAATTTAATTAAAACATAGATCTCTGATTTCGTTATCCTCATTTGAGCTTATATATAAGACGCGTGAGTTAATAAAGATCAGAATTTTAATAAGAGCGAAACAACATAGAAAAATTGCCGAAGCTAGTAGTAGCTATTACGTTGTAATTTCATTGTCTACTGTTAAGTTGAAAGCCCCACCGACTAGGTTTAGGTAAGAGAGCTCATTTCAGTTGTTATTTTTTAAATCGCATTCGACGCAAGTAGCAGAATGCGAGGCATACAGAATACAATCTGATGGTGGTGGCTGCAACACCGTAAACTATTTGTATAGCTTTATATTTCAGAGGGCAGAGGAACTGGATGATTCATACTTTTTATATAGAGCCATTGTGTTACAAAGTTTCCGTCATATAATCATTTTCCTTGACCTCATATTCATGGTTAAGTGACTACTAAAAAACTATATTTGGTTACTAATATATGGTATCCTTGCAAGGTCTACATGACTGTCAGACATGATTCACCTGACCTCGACCTAATTTCACGGATCAGTGTTAAGTTTCAGTGGTAAAGTCCGTACAGTCTCAGATAGTAGTGGGTTAAATATATTTGGTGTATGGAATGGTAACAAGGTGTACATGATTTTGTGGTTCATCTGACCATACCTCATTTACATGGAACATTGATAGTGTTAATTCTATGTAATACTTGTTGTATAATATAAAAATTAGGAGATGTGGAAGCAAGCAATTATAGGCAACCGTACGGCCTTTGACAATGTGAAAAACTCATACCGTATGGTCGGCTATAAAAAAGCCAGTTATTAAAAAAATGAAAGAATTCATATGAAAAAAAAAACTAACAAATGCTAGTTTTTACGGTAATGATGTTTATGATCATACTTTTCTCAGACTATTGATGACGTCCTTTCATTAGTTTTCAGTAAGGGAACACCCATTTGATTTCGAAAACAGGGAGGGAATGAGGATTTTGAAAATGAATTACTTGGCCTGGTATGAACTGAAATAATTGACTTTGCACAAGACAGGATGAGAATGGACACTCTTCAACATGAAATGCAGGATAGTTGAGGAAATCAATTTGTACAAAAGTGAAAATAAATTTTCGCGCCTCCAGCCCCATCCCTTTCTTCAGAATATAAAATGTTCTACCCTAACGGCGAGTACAATTATATCGGTACTTTGTGTTTTTTGTCTTCATGTTAGTTGTTTTTGTGCTTCATGCCGATTTCATAAGTCAAGCCATTTCAAACTGTTTTTCAGCAGATTTTTCTTATGCTGTGTTGTTATACCATTGTCCAGGTCAGGGGAGGGTTGAAGGATCACAAACATGTTTAACCCCTCCAAATTCTGTATATGTCTGTCCAAAATCAGGAGCCTGCAATTAAGTGGTTGTCGTTGGTTGCTGTCTGTTGTATTTGGTTTTTTTTTGTTGCACGAACGGTGGTATATTTTTGTTGTCGTTCCGATCGAGAGGGATTTAGGTCGAAAACATCATACAAGACTTTTGATGTGCCATATTCCGGGTGTGAAACAAAACCGACCGATTTGATTCTTATACTACAATTATAACAAGATATTTATTCAATAAAAAGTTTAAAGTTTTGAAAAACAGACACAAAACAGATTTCTCCGAACAAAGTGACAATCTACAAAGTTAGTTGGATATTCACAACAAATAAATCAACCACACAACAAGCAAAAAAGAGAAATGTTTGAGTGACCTCTGTCCTTGTTAATGACCTAATTTAGTGTAAGCAACAAAATGAATAATGTCACGAGATAATCCGTGTTTAATCAATACCAAAATGTTGACTTAATTTGTGTTTTTAATTGCTAATTTTTTCAAAACGATTTTTATTTCACGCATGCAATTTGGCACACACATGCACTGTGTCTTATTGCTTAAATCAGAGTAAAAAATATTGTGATGATACACGTAATAATTTTGCTTTCGATGAAAATAGGGTAAATTTCGGGTAAAATTTTACTCTTACTAAAATGCTGAAATACTTATATCAAAATCACTTAAATACTTTCCGATTTCGTTATATGATATATTAAATATATAAACTATATTATAGGTACTGTTTTAACTACCAACAAAGAACGTAATAATTTTATTTTTCATGTTAAAGATTCCCCGTACAATACGGTATCTGGTGGTACCCTGTAAAAACACGAAATTTAGAAAATCGTGACCACGGGAACTTACGACGACAATCATGA